ATCCAGTGAAGGAAGACGTTGTTGGTTAAGCTGTCTAGTGCCACGACGCCATTGAACACACACGGATAATACCAAAGCAGACGAACAGTGAGTTCTATGGACAAAGCATGTTTCCACGGCCCGTTTTGTCTGCGTGGTGTATGGGCTGACAACGAAGCAGCGACTAGCAATGCTGATGCTGCCAGGCAACTATCCGCTCTCAAGTCACCGAGTTAATTCTGCGCTAACGGATGCGTCCCAGCTTCGCCCCAGGTGGGCACTGAGCACTGCGCCAATGGAATTGATGGTGGGTGACATTTGACGGGTGTTGATGGTGAAATCGCCGCCATTCGCGTCACCGGTCGGTAATATTGATGAGGAAACATCGTCAGATGATCCACGATGACGCATTTGCGTGCTTGTATGGAAACGTATGATTTTATGGTGGCGGGTGTGGATCCCGAGAACAGAAGTAAGCACCGCTTCCCTAGTTTCAATCATGATGTGGATGTACGCGCATGAACAGGTAGCGTTCCGGTGTTTGCTTGTTTATGTCAAATTTGCCACCTTGAAATATCGTTTTCGGTGCTTTTAAACCACTCAGCTCAACTTCTCGTCCGACAAAATGTAACGCAAATATCGCTCACGCCGACGGAAGCGGATTCAGACGCAAAACACTGACAACTTGTCTCTGATCATCCGCCTCGAGTTGATGATTACGAAGGCCCAGTTTTCCGTCCCGTGAGGACCCAAAAAGCCAAGCACCAACATAAATAAAAACGCCGCAGCACTCGCTGCTAAGAGCAGGAGTATCATCACTTGCTTGCTCAGAATAGCGTATCTTGGGCGTTTCTTTCTTTGATTTCGTCATGGCTGGAAATTTGCGTGTATACGCATATCCGTATACATACACATATATGAAGCGAACATTTCCGCAAGGACAGATTCACCATGCTAAGTTAAGTGACAAGCTGGTGTAAACAAGGTTTATTTACTCTCATCTTTTGACAGAATACATCTCACAGGCTCCGTTAGAAATTATTAGAAAATGATCAATTCACAGGTTGTGGGAGAAGTATATTCTTGGCAAAGTTCGGACACACAATTTTCTTATTTTTATCAATGATGAAATTTCTCTAACGTAACCTCGGGCTTTCAGGATGTCCTATCAGCCCTAAGCCGCCTAGCATAAAAAGTAGTGCAGAAACCAGCAACCCGTTTGCGTTTCATTGATTTCATGTCGTGAACCTATAAAAAGACAGCTATCTTTTGTCCTGATATCCGCTCCTGTCATCTTGATATGCGTCATTCCGTACCCTCTGACCACACCAACTCACAGAGGTAAGAAGACTTGCGGGCTGAACAGTGAACATGACACGGTGTGTCCTCAAAAGACGTCAACGACCGGTTAAGTTCCTGGATTTGTTCAACTTTCTTCTCAAAGTCGGGGGTGAAGTGGAGCCCAGGTTGGGAGTGGGGAGGCTGGAGCCCATTGAACTGAATAACAAAAAAAACTACGCCACCGCCCAGAGCGCGAGCTGCCACTGATTTTACTTAAATCTGACAAATCTGATGGCGCGTACAAAGATGATGATTGCGAGAAGTTGCTGACGGCGCGGTCCGAAAACGTGTTTCAAACGGTTCAGAACTAAAGGCCTGACACCCAAGCTTGGGCACTGACTACGCCTGTTGCGATAAGCGCGTTAAAGCTCGGTGCGTTGCGGTGATGCCCCACAGAAGGCAGAAGAGCTCCCCCTGAGCCCAGATATCCGACTGATTCTGATGTTATGGCATGCTCTGTTTATTAGCGCCCTGTGGCTTAGCATCATGTGTTCTTGTATTTTAGTTCGTGTGATTGTGTTTTTTTGTCAAGCAATCTTACACGTGTGAAATTGTAGTAAGCAGGTAATGAGATCTGCGTGGCCCTCAAGAGAGTCCTGCTTTCGTCGAAAGGTTAAAAAAATGTCGGAGTGAAAGCCTGGTGCTGGTCCAGAATTACTGCAAATTGGAGTTGCGGCAGGATTACTTCTGCTCGCATGGAAAGCTCCACGACCGTCTGAAGGAAGGGTAGGCGTGTTCGAAATTCGCACGTGTGTCGTTTGTTTTGTCGCCATGCGCGAGCTCTCGCGTAATAAACGGATGGCGTGAAGTACGCGTTTGGAACTATAATGTATTATCAAGCCATTGTTCGTGAATGTGAGCGTAAACGCGTCATCAGCACGCCCGCGGCTGACAATCCCGTGAGGCGAAAATTCTCCAATGCATATATAAGTCCTATGCATAGGTCCCCAAACACGAACTGTTCAATTTCATTGTGTTTAATACCATCTGCATGATGACAAAATCATTTCCGATGACATTCCCCTCTGAGAGATATGCTCAGGCGAGGAAACCATCTCCACTTCACTAATTTCACGCCGTAAGAGACACCTTGTCCGCACGCCGCTTTTGTGTAGCTTGCGGTTTAAGTTGGGGAACAAATCTCACCTGTGGGGGATGCATCCCCTGTCTTTGGTTGACGTTTCTCTGTTTGCAGCGTAATTTGGACTTCCAAATCGTTTCGGAATGCTTCAATTTCCAAACATTTGAGAAATCACTCAATGAATACATTACACTGGACCACTGTACCCTAATTTGCATGTGTAAGAGATGTTTGCCTGTTTGCCATTACAGCTAAACTAGTCATGTCCTCGTCTTTTCCAGTCCCTGTCACGAACCAAACAAATATAACACTATTTAAAGTGCAAAGCTTCTATTTGCCAATATCTCACTTCCACTCATAGACGATTCGGGTTTCTCAGCGCCTTCTGATGGAAGCGATCACGGCCGCGTGGCAGAGGACAACCGTGGTGAAAGCGTGCTGGACAGCCAATGACACACGAATATAACAATGTACAGGATCGTCATATGACATATGACATGACATATATCAATGATGAGCAGTATTAGAAGGCCATTTTTGCACGGCAGGCGGTGAGAATGACTTCGTTTCCAATTTTATCCCAGTCGGCTTTTATCCCTGTCAACATTTTGTCGTTCGACTTCTTTTCGTCCAACTTTTTTCCACGCGACTTTATGTCCGGACGCCAGCTGAAAACCCGGGTGCAGAGTGCGGTTCAAGCTAGAGAGCATGGGACTTGCACTTAAAAGGGAAAGGAAGAAAAGCGACCCAAAAGTGCAGTCCGATAACACGATCCTTGTGTCGGAGTGCCAATACTGAACAAAGTTTCGGGTTGGTGTGCCAATACTGAAATAAAACAGCGGTGCTGGCCATCCGTTCCGCCCCGCTCGTACACTGTTGCGTGAGGCACGCTAGCGCACTAACTAGCCGATCGTGCTAATAAATTTTAAAATGGCAACATATATAGGTAATATAGACAAAAGGATAAGACGCCTTCAAACCCGAGATAATCGTTTGCATAGCGTAAACAGGTGCCTTGCCACGTCGTCACGCAACCAAGCCGCAGCGTCACAGAAGGGTCGCGTTGGCACCCCATTCTCAAGCCAACTTCCACGCTTGCCGCCACGGAATAAATCCGTTACGGCTTTGACGAAAAGTACCCACAGTACTCCCCGGGAGCCCTTTCGCACCCGACTGCCGTAGACTGATTATTCCTGCTGTTTTTTAAGTTATGCCATGCACTGATGGCAACATTCCAACGAAAAATCGAGATCAGAGTCACGAGTCACGCACGCGCTCTGACGGCCAAACACCTGAAATTCGACCACGGCCACATGGGTAACTCACTAAAACTTGGACTAAACCATTGCCAGGGAGCAGTGGTTGATGACCACGCTTGCGCGCTTTCGTAGCCATGTCCTGAAAACAGGTGCTTACAGAGAGTACTGAAACCTCACCAACAGCTTTGAAAAGTAACAGCATATAATGGGCGTGCCTGAGTCAAATGCTCGCACAGTGTGCGCAAGTGCCGCAACACATAACCTTACAAGTCAAGGCGCAGAGCTGTAGCGATTACACGCTTGCCCTTCAATTCGAAATCAACAGATGTTCAACTCCCAGGTGGTGCTCTCCAAATGCCTGCTGAGTTTCGGGCCTTTCATGTGATCCTTCTGTTCTTGACTTGACTTGACTGTTCAACAAAACGTGCTGGCCAAGCATGCCATCTATGGTTGGTCAAAACCCACTCATCATGAAGGTGCTGCGATCTTCCTGCGCCTTCTTGCTCCGCAGTATCCTAAAATGGAGACCATGAACACTATTCCGGCTGATTGCCCGCGGCATGTACTTCCTTGGAATGTACACCCGATCAATTTTATAGACAACTACGTAAGTTGTTACGTGCATTTGCGAGGAACATTAGGAACAAAGATAGGACAGTGCCAACAGCTTTATTCCTCGTAGAATACCCAGGAAAGGTGAGATATGGATGGTCTAATACTTTGGCTACATGCCTGCGCTGAAACGAATCTCAGCAGTATCACGCGTCACGTGACATCACGTGACAAACAGTCAAATTGTCTATTGAAGCGCGTTGGTTTTGTGTCGCTCCGACCGCGGTTGCCGGGGTGACGCCGGTCTCTCGAACGACCGCTCGTCGGCTTTGGCGCCGCTCGCCTTCTCGTGCCACCCATGCAAAACCAATAGGCTAAAGGGTAACTCTCCGGTGACATGGAGTGGCCGTCACTTGAGGATGAACTGACCTTGAAGGGCTGCCTTGAGAGGCCAGAAAGTTCGACAAGCGCCATTTACGTTACGGATACTTCGAGATGCATCTCATGAACAAGTGCAATGTCCAACTGATGCGCGATTTGAATCGCGTACCCCTTGGTCCTGGTCACCGCATATCTCCTGCGAGTGCCGGCTTCACCTTACCATGGGGATCCGCTACCGGTCCTGTTCCTGTGAGCCGGGTCAGCGGCAGCACGCGCTGCCGCACCGACGGCGCATCGGCAGCCGTTTCGCACGCCCGCCAGCTGGCCGGCCCCGACCCCGAGCGGCTCTCGGCTCCCGGCGAGCGCCGCCTCCTCCCCGTCCGTCGACCGATCGGCTGGAGCCAGATACGTCTCACACGCACGTGTATTACCGCTCCCTCTGCGGATGCCGGCAGGCGCGACCAGAACAGCGACGCCGGCCAGACGCCAGCCGCCGCCGGCCGCGGCGCTCGAAAACGAACGCGCGGCGCGACCACGCTCGCCGAGCGCGAGGCTTGTAGATGACCGGGATGAAGGGCAGGCTGGAAGGTCGCGAACCAACAGCGCTCCAGTTAAAACGCGGCACACGGAGCTGGCAGTGGGGGCCAGACCCGCGAGCCCGATTTCGAGGAGGTGAGAAATTACACAAGCGAATACGAAAACGGAAATGCTGCACGTAACGACAGGCTCTAAAACAAGCCGCTGCCTCCAGCCAGCACGATCTCCACGCACGCCGCGCGACCGCCCCATCGCGCCGCTCGCTCGCGGTCATCGCGCCAAAATCTGGCGCTCAATATTGCCTGGGGTACAGCCAAACAGGCGCGCCCGCCGCCGCCCGGTGACCTGTAAAACGACACCAATCGGCCGAAGCGCCCCAGAATGCTGGCGCGAAATCCGCCAGTCCGCAGCGCGTCTGAGACACCCGGCGCCCCACCTTCCTCCCCTCCCCCGGCGCTCGGGCCACCACTTTGTACGGGCGGCGCCGGCGGCTGCCGCCGGCGCCCTTCGGCGCGGCACCGGCCTCTCCGGACGACGCCGCTCAGAGCCGCTTCAGGGTGCGCCTCGTCTTGTCCTTGAGGCGCCGCTTGTCGCCGGTCGCCGGCGGCCGCTCCGCCGCGTGCTTCTTGGCCGTCGGCTCGCCCTCCTCCGCCGCCTTGCTGCCACGCGCCACCTGTGGAGCGGCGCAAACACTTAAGTTCTGCTGTCCGGCCGTGAGATGGCGGGATGGCCGATCGCGTTAGTCCAGATTGACCGCAATCGGAGTCGTCGGCTGTTTTCAGAAAAGTTCACTTTTTTACCACCAACATGTTATGAAACCTACATACTTATTAGAATGACCTAAATTAGTGTAACACGGTTTTAATTGGCTGAAACTTAACGTGACCACGAGCCGGCACCACGCGAACGGCACACAGCGGAAGTCTCTCCTTCAGCAAAGCAAACGGAAGCTGCAGCACATCACCACGCAGTTGTCACCACAGGCAGCAGAACCTATTGCAGCTCGTGCTGTAAAACTTTCGCAGTATTTGCCAGCAAACTGTCAAGTGGGCGTGGATTTCTCTAAACAGTAGACTATTACCAAGACATCACCGGAGCTCCTCAACTGCCAAGGAAAACGAAAAATAACCCGCGGCGAAACAGACCACGGATCAAAACCAGATGACCTCGGACACTTATGCTGCCAACCCATGGGGTTCAAATGACACGACGACGCGCTGCCGACACATGATAAAAACCGGCCGACGAAAAGCAATATATGACATCGCAGTGGCTAGGTCGCTCTGTTCCGCTGGTTGCGCGCACGGTCGCACAAACCATGGACGTCCTAGCAGTAAAACGTATCACAACACCTGGAATACCTGGTTAAGACTAGGGAATCAAAGAAGACAAAAATTCTTAATTGACATTGTGTTGGCGGACGTACCATCTACCAAACACTTGAAGTTGAATGCTGACCAACCCAGTGAAGCAAAGACAAAAATGCTAAATTGACCCTATTGTGCTGGCGAGCGTACCATTTGCCCAACACTTGAAGCTGAGTGATGACCAACTCAGCAATACCATCAATCACCTACAAAGCGGACCACGCCACTTTTCCAGTTCCAATCTCGATTGACCAATGCTGGGGCGCAAGCCTGGAATTCCTAGGCCATAAAAGCGGTCGAGGCATGCAGGCCAGTTCGCTGAGACGTGACCCCATCTAATTACGTGAGTTCCCAGAGAACGACTCCATTTGCTTACGTCAAGGTATAGTCTGCATGCCAGTGCCACCGTCGTCTATTATCGCGCCACTCGTCGCGCGCGGCGGAAGGCGTCCCACTGCTACATAACAAACGCCATTCCGCACAAATAAATCACGTAATGAATACTGCAGTGCATGAAGCACATTTACCAAATTGGGCTTGGACTGCTGCTGACCCATTTGTCATGCCCCCCTCCCCCCTAGCCAGCCAGCCAGAATCCCTGACTCCCTCACCGGCATGGATGAGGGCTCTCCCTGACCTCCCTGAGACGCCGCGCCAGCCCCGGACCGACCTGGGCGTGGATCTCGGTCATCATGCGCGCCCTCTGGCAGTAGTCGTCGTAGCGCTCCAGCAGCATCTTGCCCGCCTCCTCGTTCAGCGCCGACTCGGGGTTGGGCACAATCAGCAGACATTTGATAGTCTGCCAGCAGGCATCGCGCGGGTCAGACGGGGTCGCGTCAGAAGGGGAACGCGCCACCCGGTCAGACACGGCATCACATGACACGCTGGGTGGCCCACGCGCTTTGGCAAGCGGCGTATCTACCTCTGCATGCCGAGTCGCGAGGCTACATGGGTTAAGGTTACGAGTCCGGGGGCACCAATGGAGCTACCGAGCTGATTGTGCTACCAAGCTCCGGCCGGCGCGTGCACCAGGGGCACGCTCAGGGGTGACGCCGCAGCGTCCATTACCAGGAGCAGGTGCTTGATGCCCAGGTCCGCCTTCCAGTCCTTCTTCAGCGTGTTGACGCAGATCTCGCCGCTGACCGCCACATTCGGGTGGAAGATGCGCGTGATGAAGAACCCCTTCGGCGGCGAACGGGGAAAGTCGCGACTGAGCGCCAGCTTCACCCGGAACACGCCGCCCGCGTACGGCGTCCCGGCTGTAACCATGGCAACGGCGGTCAGCTCCGCCCAGAGCATGCCGCTCGCATGTGGCGCCCCAGCTGTAACCATGGCAACGGCGGTCAGCTCCGCCCGGAGTACGCCGCCCACGTACAGCGTCTCGGCTGTAACCTTGATAGTGGCGATGGCTGTGACACTACAACGCCCGCGTCTGACATCTTATATCTCACCTGACATCTGACATCTTACCACTAGCTATAACAAGCAAGACAACCTTTCAACGTCCACAACCCCGTTTGCCAAAGTCCAGGCTGCTCATGTGATTGCCACTTGAAAAACACATCACACTTTGCTCTTGGACTTTCCTCTCTGAGAACAAGATCAACTTGAATCCAAGTTGATGTTGCTCACTTTATTTTCCGTGATCAGCGACCAAGTTTGACAAAGGTAGTTGACTCCTCATTTGGCTAAAATCACATAAAACTTGCTTCATTTATGCCAGGCACAAACCTCAATGACATAGATGGGCTGGTTGTTATGTTTGCGGCCCAAAAACACATTGCCTCCATCGCGGAAAGTATCACCAAAACCAGAAACAAACTTAAAAAAGCGGATCTATGTCAGTTAATAAAGCAAATTATTAGACCCAACCTGCTGATAACCACAAATGATCTTTCTCATTGAGCAGTGCCAATCAATCAGCATGCAGCACTCATTATTGTTAATGAAAATGACAAACAGTTTGAGAAAATACTGCTGTTAAAATATAAGTTAAGAGTTTAAGGTGCACACTCACCTAGGAAATGAACAAAAACAGCCTAAACAACATTATTTTTATCAATGACAGTAGTTACACACTTTCACCCCAGGATCCGCCCACATAGTCCTCAGCCTCAGCACATCCTCTTCAGTGTCTGCACGCACTCTCCCGGCAGCCCATCAGACGCGCGCACCCTGCACCAGAGGTGCTGCAGCCTCTCACGGCACAGGCCCCTCACCGGGTCCGTCGATGAGCGCCTCCACCTGAGTGACGTCCTGCTCGTTGAAGAGCACTTTGATGCCCTCGGGTGGCGACGTCTGCAGGCCGGCGAGCTCGCGCGCCACCTGACGGATCGTCTGTGGCGACAGGTTCTCCACGTTCGACGTCTGCCGGCAGGCGAAGAGGTCAGAGTGCTGGGATCCGAGTGAGAGGTCTGGGGTTCGACTCCCGCCTGGGGACATTTTGTTGGCCATGGTTGAGCGAGAGTGTAGCGTTGATGGGTTGGTGAATACCCTGACAATGATGGGTGAGTCAGGCAGATCAAAAAGTCATGTTAGTTGTCAAAGGATCATGATAAGGTCAAAATGTCATGAGGTCAAAAGATCACAATGAGGTCAAAAGGTCCTGATAGGGCCAAAAGGTCATGCTATGGTCAAAATGTCATGGTAAGGTCAAAAGGTTGTGATAAAATCAAAAGGTCATGCCAAGACTAACAGGTCAAGATAAGATCAAAAGGCCATGTTGGTTGGGTCATGGGAGGTCAGGAAAGCTACAGAGGAGTACATCTCTCCGGGTGGTAGGTGGCAAGGAGAAGTGAGCCAGATATAGAGCGACAGTGGTTAAAAAAATGCATGGGAGTAGGGAACTGCCAGCTGAATTAATTCAACACCCCTGATCACTTTTGTGGCCATGAAAATGGATTAGGTTCAGTTTGGGAACATATGCAGTTTTGGGCAGTCTCTCATGTTTAATGCCAAAAGGGTTAGCTCAGATATATGCAGTCCACTAAGTTCATCATGGGCCAAGCTAAGACAGGAGCGGCACAGTCACAGCAGGCTACAGAAGGAACTAACTTTTAGCACAGTCACTCACCATTAAGTAGCCGTATCTGTACATAGTCAGCATGGCGACAAGTTATGATTTTGCTCGAAAACATGAACTCATTCTGTTCATGTGAACTTTTGTTCTGACTGGGGATTCCATGACAGGATGGTGTGGGTAGCAAGGGCTCATGCAATGACCACCATTGCTGATGCTCAATTCAGAGATGGGTTTGGAGCATCTTGAAAAGTCAAGTCAAGGAAAGTCAAAAGTCAAGAAAAGTGTAACAAATGTATCCATGAAAGTCAAGTTCAGGTACAGTCAAAAGTTAGCCAGCTTCAGTATTAGTCAATGCAGTCTATCAAGATCAGTCCATAGTTACAAGTCCAGATGATAAAAAACTGAAGTAAATCCCAAGCCTGGCAGGAAATATACATATAGAATATAAAGAACAAAATGAAAATCAGAAGTCTCAAAGAAAGCAAAATAAACACACATACTGACACCACTGAGCATCACACACTCCCATGAAATAGACCAAGCACCAGCATGTTTCTGCAATGCCTTACACCAATTATAATTTGGGATTGTACACCTTCCTCACACACTCATCATGTACTGATCACCATTTTAAACTGAAGCAAGATGCATGCCATACAGGATAAGCAGGGCTTTGACTGGATATAGTATGTGTTTAAGTTTGTGGTGAGGAATGATATCACTATTACTATGTTACTTAGCCCTCATAAGCTTGCACTATGTCTTAATCAGTCAGGAAACCATAAGTACTGGGTTTTAATCCCTGAGGTGCCCACCCTTCCTTGCCATGGTGAGAGACGGGTGACACCGTATATGCTCAGCATCTGACTGAGCTGCAATGACATCCAAATAGCAATTCTTTATCTGCAAAAATGTTCATGGTAAAAAATTAAAGGTAGCTAGCATACAACATGAAAAGCAGTAATAACATCAATCAATAATCAAAGAACTGATTTACATTTGCTCTTATTAAAGTAACTTGGCCTTTGGATATAAAACATATTCTACAAGCACATAAAAGCAACCTTTAGCTACCACCTAAAAAGCAAATATAGCAGCAATCTCAAGCTGTCACCTTAACAGCAAATACAGCAGCAACCCTTTGATGAGACATTAAAGCAAATATAGCAGCAATCTTCAGCTGACACCTCAATAACACTTCCTAACTACAGCCAAAGTGTAATCTATTGATAGTTTTTAACCAGTCTCACGTAACCAACAGCTGCACTACCAAAACATGTATAATGCCTAGCATGCCTTGCAAATTTTTGTACATGTCTAAGCACCATATATCCATGCAAATGTACATATGCTGTAACCTGCAAGCCTGGCACCCAAACCAAATTGTGCTGCATGGCTATTGCAATGTAACAGGTTATCATCTGCAAACCAGTATATATGAAGGCAAGTAGGTACATGCATGCTACCTAGGTACTTGAACAGGATGGACAAAGCTTTCTTTTATAAGGTAAAATAATGAAAAATCATATAGACAGAATCTGCTTACAGTAGCCATTCCTTCTGAAGATTCTTGTATTACTTGGATTTGTTCTGAAACACAGAAAGGACAAGATTAACATGTCCTTATTCAATAATTTTCACTGAAATTAGAGCCACATACAACAAAACAGGACTTGGATATGCTGAGCAACAGTACACAACCCAATTCAGACTGCTAACAAAATATCGTCCTAGAAAATAGTTCTGCCAACATTTATTCAGCACATATTAACAATTTCATCGTTCCCTTTACGTAATCTTAAGCTTCGAAATCGTTACCTGTATGTTCACACCGGTACGATACACAATCACACAGGCCATTAACGCATTTGAAGAGTGTAAGGTACCTACACAGGGTATTTATTACGTTTTCTTCGAGACAGACAAGAATAAAACGTCGCCGTTCGATCTACTCGCTCTTCGTTCGATGACACCGGACCACCAACGTACTCCACCCACTCGTTTTGCGCATCGTCGGCTGTCAGCGACCGTTGAATGGATTCAGGTACAAGGGAATAACATACGATGCACATTTTCAAATGCTGTTAACCAAATGACGTAGAAGTGACGACATCTTAAATTAATATTCGGATTTTGTAAGAGAAAACCTATCACATGTTCTCAATATGCTTATAAACAAAATCAAAACTACCTTCTTGCTCAAATCTATACATTCATCGATGTTGTTCAAATTTTGGCTACCTTTGTTCTGGTGCTCATCATAGTACGTTACGTCAATGCTACCAAATTAGTGGCATGCAGATTTCTTCATTGACACATACAAGTCAATGTGGAACTATGGCACATCTGCAAATACATGATCGCTTCGCGCACCTTATCGCTGATATGGTTGTTATACTGCGAGAAGTTGAAATGAACATAAAATTGAGCGTATGATTTGGTGCCAGTAAAGGATCTGATAGTGTTTGCGATTTAGCCTTGTTTGTATCACGGTCTGCTCGACCATATCCAGCACCCCACCTTCCAGCCACGACTTCGTCCTTCGCTTACGTATTTGCGATTGGCCGACTGGACGATGTAATCAGCTGATGGCTGACGACTAATGCAGGATTTTTCCTTTGTTTTACAGGAGTGCAACATATCCTAGCATTCAAAGTATGTTTAGGGCGTGATGCACTAGTAGAAGTATCTCGCACTCGATAGCCGATGGAAGTGACACATACGACGACGGCGGCATGTAAAATTACATTCGGCAATTGCGCATAAAAATTTATCGACGCATATTCGACTACTGCTCTAAGGCAAAGGCACCAAGGACAATTGGGACGAAACCTGAGCGATACTGGGTGCCGCAGGAGACCAACAAAGTGGCTACCATCAACAAGCATAAGGCCCTATGAGCAAGCAAAAAGAACGCAAGACCGGCCTGGTGGGCCCCTAAACGATCGGTAGTGCCCGGCAGGCTGACATATAACGCCCCGGCCACAGCACAGGACTATCCGAGCAAGGGGTAATTATCCAAGACCATGAATTAAAACCCCTGTGCGATCAAGCGTGCATGGGCAGGTTAACAGCACGAGCCTCGATAGGAGTGAACGGTCCTCCGCAAATGAGATCAAAGGGAGAGACCCCTCGATCAAAGCAGGGGGACCCTGAGCATCGAGTGTACCCGAACAGGTTATCAGATGACCCTGATAGGAGCAAGGGGCGCTAAATTCAAGCGCCAAGAATCAATGTGCAGCCCCCCCCCCCCGAGCAATTGAGTGCGGTCGAGGAGGCAAACAGCCCCTCCCCCCCCCCGACAAGTGCGCAGGGCCGCTGTTCAAATAACACGTGGCCAAGGCCCAATGTAGAGGGCCCCCGAACGATCGAACGTGCCCGAACAGTTTATCATATAGGCCTCCCCTCGATAGCGTGAGGCCCGCCATTCAGAAAAGAATTACGCAACATTCAGTGTGGAGGGTCTTCGAACGACTGAGTGTGCCCAAGCAGGCCATCAGATGGGCCCCCGACAAGAGTGCAGGGCCCTAAGCAAGTGACAGAATTGGAAACGCCTTAGACCAATGTAGGGGGCCCGTGAGCATATCGCATGTATGTCGGTGGGTTAACCGAGACCCACGTAAAGGGCCCCTGAGCAACCGAGAATACCCCGGCTATAGCTTACAGGGCCTTTCTGACGAGTAAAAAGAATCCGCGGAAGGGCCCGTGATTGACAAGAGTGCCCCGGTACGCTAACAGGAAAGATCCCAGCAACAGCGCAGGGCCCTCCGAGCAAATGCAAAGAAATGAAGGGCAAAGTGGAATGCTCCTTAACAATCGAAATGATCCTGCAAGTGGGCATAAAGGTCCCCCGAAAACGGCATGGGCCGTAAATGATGAAATGGAGCCTAAAATTTCAAGTTCACAACTTTGGCGAGGTGGCGCCATCGGCACTGCTGCAACCGCAGCCGCGCGAACCGGCGCCTGCACCACGATCGGTTGTGCCACGGCCACCACCAGCTGTGCCATCCCCCGCGTCGGGAGCGGCGCCGCCGCCGTCGCTGCCGCCGCTGACGGAAGCTACGGCCCAGCCCTGCAACGCGCAAGTGCCCCAGACTCAAGACCCACCGCCACCGCTCAGTTTCAGCCCGCGTAAAACACGCAGTGGCCGCGTTTTCTGAGAAGCATTAAAGAAGCAGCATAGAAGCAGCAGGAAAGCAGCAGAGAAGCCGCAGTCTGAGAAGCAGCAGGGAAGCAGCGGGGAGGCAGCAGGGAAGCAGCAGTCTGTCGCCAGTAATTTCGTTTCGTAAGCGTATTAGCATTTACTTGCATTTGCTCAAGGGGAGAGATGCATCGCGATGTTACTGGCGTGCGCCTGAGGCCGCCCCTGCTCGCGCCGCCAGTGCTGCCGCACCTTGGTACGCCGCTGCCCCGACCGGCGGTGTACTGCCTGGGGCGCCGCCGCCGAGGTCGGCGCCGCCTGCTCGCCTCGCGGGTTAATACAGTTGCCGTCTCGCAGCGCTCGTGTCTGGTCTGGGCAGATAGAACACGTACGACTTGAATACAGATGTTCCGCTGACTGACTCGAATCCGCTTGTTGACTTGTTGACCTAACACCGTGTTAGGCACTGGGCCTCTAATAGGTACATAAGCCCCGCATTGTTGCAGGTGCTGTGACCAGTGCAAATCGCGGACCCGGCCTTGACCCTGCTTGGAAAATGGGTCCCAGGACATCAGACCGACACAGAGCCGACTGTCTGGCGTTGGTGATCTCTGGCCGAAATAAAGCGCTCTGAGTCGAGTCCGCTCGCTCGGGTCCCAAATCGGTACAAGGGACTCTCCAACTGACATTTGAGATCACGGTCCTACGGGCGGGGTACTTAATGTGACCTACAGCCATCTCTTCGGGCCCCTCAGCCCCCTATCGGTCCTTTGATCTTTGGTCCCGAGAATCCCTTCGTCCACCCTTGGACCTACTGAAGGAAAGCCCGTGACCGACTTAGGGCCGCCAGCTGGCACATGACACCCTGTTAGGCGCTGTGGACCCCTGACCAACGCAGGAGCCCCATTCATTGTTTCAGGGACCCAGACAATTGCAAGTTGTGGCTCCCAGCCTTGCTCCTGTTTGGCAAATGGCCCCCAGGGTTCAGAGTGACAGGGATCCAACTGTTCGGTGCTCGTAGTCTCTCGCCGATCGAGACATGCGCATTGTTTCAGGGGTCCTCAAACGGTGCAAGAGGACCTCTCACTGATATTTTAGGTCACGACTCTGCGGGCCGTGATTCTTTATGCCATTTAAAGCCCGTCCTTCGGTTCCTTATGCCCTCCAACCGTTGATCTTTGGCCCCACTGGGCCGCCCGGGCCCCCCTTTGGGCCTCATCGAGAACTGCCCCTGGTTGGCCCGGAGCCGCTTGGAACACAGGGCCATATGATAGGTACCGCGGGCATCTGACAGATGCAGGGGTCCGACCATTATAAATCGCTGTCTCCGGCTTTGTAGCTGATTAGAAAGCAGGCCCTTAAGCCAAGCCGACACAGAGCCGCATGTTCGGTACTGGTGATGCTTGACGGACATATCGGCCCATAACGATCCAGGGGCCCCTGATGAGCGTGCAGAGCCCTCTGGATGGCATTGAAGCGCCAGGCCCTGCGGTTCTGGCCTCTGAATGCCACCTCCGGTCGGCATTTCGGGCCCTTTGGGCCCTGAAATTGTGCCCTTAATCGTAGGTCCCGAGGGGCCCATTCGGCCCCTCGGGACCTACGATCCTGACCATCCATTAGACCTGATCATCCACTTAAGGACAGGGGAAGGCACGTGTCCATTATGCCCCCCTCCTGCCGACGCTACTGATGTCACGCAACATACAGCAACTCAGGCGTTCAATTCGAACTCCATTTGCTTGGTGGCAGCCAGCGTCACCTATATCAATGAGTTACGCCTTCCGCCGCTGGTGGCAGGAGCATCAGCGGCTTGTGTATACCGGGTTGGCATGGATGTCTTAATGTGTATGAATTGGTTCATTGATTGACATACTCATTATAATTTGTTTGTCGCCAGATTCGTCACAGGTAACAGCCATGGCTGATGTTAAGAGCACTTGTTGATAGTTAATGGTTCTGACAACGCCAGTGTTTCGTTCTTCCTGTTGGGTACCGCCGTGAGCTGGGTCTATCCCGTGGTACTCGGGTGGTTATCGCGCGTTTGAATATTCAAGTCATGTTCGGTCTTTTTTCACCTACTCGGCATTATCACATACGTAGTAAGGAAATTGCTTCAATTGTTTCCAAAGGTGTACCAATTTAGTGAATATTTTAGCTCCATACAAACGTGACATTATAACTTTGACGCAAAACTAAGAAGCGTGCAGACTTAAAATGCTCTTATTTGCTAAAGGTGGGGGTTGTTGTGGGGTAGGGAATTCAAATCTGTTTGCCCTAATTTACGACTTCTGGAGGTAAGCAACAAGCGTGCATGTCTTCAAGCCATATTCTTCTCATCATATTCTTCAAGCTATAGCCTTCAAGCTAAATGTTTAACACGTATTGTACGACAAAGTTAAATCTTGAGCACAAAAACTGTGTCCCACAAGCACAATCTCTCGAGCTGCATTACCATGAAACCCCGTTGAGACTTGTTTTGAAGGGATCTCAGTTCAATGTCGTGTTGTAACTGAAAACCTGTGCGGAAATTGTGAGTAATCCTGCACTTTGATAGTCCCGCGAGCTGTGCAGGTGTGGGAGCACAATTCTTTGATAAAGAAATGTGAATCAGAGGCTTGAAATGGGTGTGATCACTGGTGGTGCGTGCCAGTGGCTCGCATTGATATTGATATGATGGGAATGTGCGCGCGAGGTTTGTACTTCTGAGAGAGCTCGTTTGGTATTCTTTAAGTCTACTGAATCCCAATAAAATGTGATATACCGTTACCTGCCTCTATCTTTATGTTTGCGTTTGAACATGACAACGTAGGGATGGGGGCAAACTGCAAGAAACATTCGCACCTTTGCTGCAGGGGTGTACAAACGCAATTTGCCACTTCAATATGATCTTACT